ACTACTCTGTGGTATTTCTTTCATCTAAACTGGCATATAAAAGAAAGCAAAAATGACAATAAAAGAAATGTACCAATTTATTCCCTACTAATAAACTATTGAACATTAGGGGAAACGCATGAAATATTGGAATGCAACATAGAGCAATTCCATTACCCATTGCAGTTTTGGGTCATATACTGTATATAAAGAATAATTACTTCATTGGCTCGAGACCACAGTGAAGGAATGTAGAACCTGATGAAAGAGATTTTGTGATAAAGATTTTACCACAATGTATTTGCTTCCAAAAACTTTACCAACCTAAGGCAAGTCCATTTTATTTTGTCTTTTGATGGCAGGGCATGGGAGTGGCAATGGGCTCAAAGTGCTAGGAAAAGAAAGTAAATTGTGTGAGCCGATTTTAAAGAATCTTATCTAAAAATTATCACCACCATTTATTATTTATTTATTAACATCACCATTTTAATTTTTAGAAAATCTATTTACAATTGCCTTTTTCATGGCCTAAATGACACATGGTGTAGTTGTGGATTCTGTTTTGCAGCATGTTAATCATGTTAATCCTGGTGATTCCTAACACACCTTTACTTCCTACCCTTGAATGAAACTTCTGTGTTTCACTTTCTTCTTGAATAATTTAGCTGTATGATAAGCCCAAGGCTGGGTTCTATGAGTAAAAATTTCCTTTCTGCCTCTGACTTCTCCTACTGAGCTTTGGAGAAGAATTGAAATCTTCCTCTTAGGATAAAAAAGCCATAAAATATATTGTGGAGAGAAGACACTGAAGTTGGCCTGTGAGAGCCCAGCACAAGCCCTGTCAGTTCTCTGAGAGCCTCAATTTTTAATGAACAGTGGGGAAAATATACTATAGGATGGTTTTGAGCATTGACCTGGGTGCATGAGAACATTGTATAGCATTCACTGAACACACATCTGTATCTTTTCTTCAAAATGACGTAAAGCTTATTAAAATACAAAATATAGAAAAGCCAAATTAAAATTATGCCTTAACTTACTTCTTTCTTTCTCTCTTTCTTCTTTCTTTCTTCTTTCTTTCTTTCTTTCTTTCTTTCTTTCTTTCTTTCTTTCTTTTTTTCTTACCTTCTTTCTCCAATGTTGGGCAGGAATTTGTTTCATTGAAAGAATTAGGATTTATATATCATATTAGTTTTTCCACTTATTTGAAATAGATCATATGCATTTCATTATTAAAAATTAAATGTTTTCTGATTTCCAGAATAGTCCTATCTCATGTGCTAATTATTTTTTTGTTAAACTTATAACAAAGCTGCAATGGAAATATTTATAGGAGGTTATTGGGTGTGCATATTGGGAATATTACCTCATAACTTGAAAAATCTGTTGCTATTTTTTACCTAGCAGGCCTTTAAAACCTCTTTCTGGTAATGCTGTAGCTCAAAGGCCAGAGATTCACATGTGCTTAGCATACACTATAGCACTGGCTGTATCCCAGCCTGAAAAATTTAAATTTATGGTGACTTTTGGTAGAATTTTTAATTTTATGAAATCACTGCTATCAAATTTTTTCTCTGGGGATTATTTTAGATGCATGCTTTTAGAAAACTCTTTCCTATCAATGTAAGTAAATATCTATATTGTCTTTTCATAACTTATGTATAGTCTCAACTTTTAACTTACTTGTTGAGAATATTTAGCAATATTTGAGGTAGACATTGATGTAGACTTATTATCTAATAGAGTTGAGAGCTTATTTAACATAGGGGTAAACAATTTTCTCTAAATACTATTGGCAACTATCTTGCTCATTCACAAGTTCCTTCTATATGATGAAACCCTATCCCACTTTTTTGAGATAGGATCTCATGTAGCCCAGGCTGGCCTTGAACTCTTGGTCATCCTGCCTCCATTTCCTGATTACTGGGATTACAGGCATGCACCCAGCATGATGTATACAACATTCTCTCAATATCTTTGTCTTATTTTAATTAAATATTTGACCTATAAATGCTTTCCCATTATTTTCCCCTTTCATAAAAAAGTCTTGAATACAGTTACATATTTACCTTTCAAGCAAATTTTAGAAACAGCTTATCAAATTCTCTCCATTTCTGTCTACTCCAAACATAAGGGTTTGGTTGAGCTTGCACTAAATCTGTACATTCAACCCCTTCCAATAGTCTACATTATAATACAGACATGTTACTGTTTTCATAATTTCTTGAAGTTATATCAAAGTACTTTGTTGTTAGCATGAGAGAACAGCACATAGCCTTGCACAGGAGGAACCTTGTACTCAGTGGACTCTTTGCTACACTAACACTCCACTTTAACTTGTTTATTTCTCTTTCTTTTGTGCTGGAGATTGTAGCCAGAGATGTGTGTATGGTAAACATGTAGTCTACCACTGACACATACCCCACTCCTGCAGAGTTTTGGTTTTGTGTGTGTTTGCTACATACAGAATAAATAATTTATTAATTAGAACAGTTTGCCACATGACGTAAAAGAATTTATACGGTACTTTGAAGAAAACACTATGAGTCAGGCCAACTTTGCAGCTTTGAGAAGAACTGGAAAGACCCACTGCTTATTAACTTTATCTAACATGTACAGTTACATAAGATTGCATAGTGAAATTCATATTTTGTTTTGTTAAATCAAGAGGGAGAAGTATAATAAATTGATGCATCTCAGTGTGTCAGGGCCAGTTAAAGGATGACTTTTGAATAAATGGAGAATGCTGGGAATCTAATTATTTCCCATATTATGTGGCTTTGAGTATTCCTCTTCTACCTCTTTTGACAATCTTTTTGGCATAAGGTGACTAATGTAGAAGATTTCTTTTATTGAAATTATATTTAAAATAAGAACTCTTACTGGTATCTACAATTATGATCAGATATAAGTTGGTCTGCATGGCCTTGGTCCCAGAGTACTGTGAAGTCTTTGGAAGAATCCTTTGCACCTGCGATCCACTTGTTCTTGGTTTCTAGGTGGCAGAATGGCAGAACATCAGCCTTGGCCAAGTATTCACAGTTCAGTGTTTGGACTCTTCTTCTAAAATGAAAGTCAGTATGTAAATGTGCAGCCTGACATTATTATCCTAGTTTCCTGGCTGCTTTCAGCAAGCACTAACTGCCACATGAGGTCTCAAGTGTTCTGGCATAGTACACAAGTGTTCAAAAGAAGTTAAAGTAATGAAATTGGATCTATATTTCCATAGACATTCAAGTTGGCATGGAGAAATGGAGTCATGGAATCAGGGTTGGATGGTCTCCACCAAACAACCTAGGCAAGTGTCTGTGATGGTAGGCTACTAAGCTAAATTCCATCGTGAAAGGCCACCACTATTTCTTCCTCTGGGTCTAAAATTATAAAACTATGCATATTTCCCTAGATTCACACCATTTACAGGACGTGTTATGCTTAATCTCCTTCCACCCATCCCCTGGTATACAAGCATTGCTTGATTACAAAATTCAAGTTGAAGTATGTACAAAAAAGGATGTGTTAGAACTTTGTCTACCAGTATAAATGAGTGTAGACTATCTGAACATTATTTTGAAGATTGGTTTGTATCTGATCTAGGAGTGTCTACTTAATACATCTCAGTACTAGTCATTTTTTTAATCAGTTGTTACTGTTCCTAGGTATTCTTGTTTGTGCCCAGTAGTTTATGCCATTGGAGTATTTGTTCAGTCAAATCTGGAGATATAGTTCACTGGTAGGGTTCTTCAGAACACCGTTGGTTCAATAGAAAATAGAAAACAAAATATCCAAGATATTTGATATATATCTCTATATATCAAATATATAGAGACCCAGCTAAGGTGTCTAAGTGGTGGTGTCAAGAAACTGGGTTTGAGCTGGGCTGGAGTTCAATTACTAGAGTGCTTACCCAGAATGCACTGACATTCCCAGGCTGGCCTGCTTCCCCACCTGTAATGGCATGACCTCCGGAAATCAAAACCAGTGGATACTGATAGAGGGAGTGAGGCAAGAAACAACCTAGTCGGGGATGGGGGTGACTTCAGGTGGCCAGTGAGCACCAAAGAGAGCAGACTCTCAGAAGACAGCCTGCAATGACACAGCTTACTTAATTGGAAGAACAAAGGCTATTTCTTTAAACCTTTGCGGAGTCGGTAGGGAATCTTCAGGGAGTGTGTACATCATCAACCAGGGCCAGGGTACTGAGCTTGCCTCGTATGCATAGGGAGGAATTTCAGATATTGCTGGACATAACCTTTTAAGAAGAAAGCCGCCCTAGCTGTCAGGCTCTATGACCTCCTTCGAGTGTCACAGGCTGCAGGGGCTAGCATATGCAGGCCTGGCGTGGCGTGGGACTGGGGAGTTAAGGGAGTGGAGGGGGGAGTGATCCTACTCCTCCTGATCTCAGGATGATATTTCTGGGGTTTGGACATGTGTTGACTCTACTCTTCCTCTGGACGGTTCCCCTGTCCCATGGCTCCCTGGCGTCATAATGCACAAACCCTGCGTTTGATCTCGAGCTCTATAGAAAACTTTGTGGTTTGATAGCACATGCCTGTTGTCCTACCACTTAGCATAGTAGCATAGAACCAAGGGTTTAAAGCCGTGCTCAGCTACACAGTAAGCTCCACGGAACCTGGACTACATAAGACCAGGTTTCAAAGAGAGGGGAGGTTGGTGAAGAGGAGAGAGGCTGAGTTTGCTAAGTGAGTCTTGAGTCAGGTTTAACAATTCTTCCTTTTCTACCGGCACCCCACTCAAGGCTCTACTTCCATGTCTCTCTCCATCAGGGTGAGAGCAATAGAACTCAACTTTCTGGACGTGCAGCCATATGCTACATTGTTCCTCATGTCATCCCCTCCCCCAGCCCCCTAAACTTTCAGGAGCTCCAAATATCCATTTGTGTAAACATAGAGATGAAGTTTACTTAACCTTAACAATGTAAGAGAAGGTCAGTCCAAAGAGTAAAGCAAGAACCAGTATATTACCTTTTACTCATTCAGAATTTCTTTTTTATTCCATTGTAGGATGGTGAAAAAAAAGGATTTATAAATAAAATCTATGCGATCCAGGAAGTCTGTGTCAGTGTCCAGAACATCCTAGATGAAGTGGCTTCCCTTGGTGAAAGGATAAAGAAGTAAGTGGTGATGGCATGGGAAGCCTGGTCTTTTATGAGAGTATCTCTTTGACTCTCAGAATGACAGGCCACATCTGTCAGGCACAAGTCACTCTTGCATGGTCTATTGTTAAGGTTTGCTGTAATTTATTTTGTTTCCTGAGTCCTTGGTTTTATGATAGTTCAGTCAATTTCTTGCCTGAAATTTGGAACATATTTATTGGAAAGAAATCATGCTTGCAGCTTTGAAGAAATGACACTGTCCTAATTTTAGCATGCTTTTTTATATTAACTTTTTTCTTAAAAAGAATATGAAGTCATGATAGAAAAATAATCTGACCTAATAGATCTGTACTGTAGAGGTTTAATTATATTTTTACCAAGTTTAATATCATCAAGAAGTAATCCACATTTCATCACTTTGGAAAAAAATCATAGAAATTTTGAATTTTAGAAAAAATCTTTTAAATTAAAAGTATTTTTAATTTATTTATTGTGTCATGCTTTTGTGTATGTATGTGCCTAAGGAGGGCCCAGGGAGTGATGAATCCCCTCGTACTGGAGTTGCAGTTGGTAGTGATCCATCATGTGGGTGCTGAGAATGGAAACTGGGTCCTCAGCCACAACAAATGCTCTTTATCACTGAGCCAATGATTCAGCCACATTTATGTTTCGTTTTGTAGGTTGGCTTTGTTTTGTGTGTGTATGTGTTGTATTTGTTTTCACTGTTGAGACAAATTCTCACTGTATAGCTCTCTGGCTGGCTTGGGAGTCAGAGAAATGTCTGTCTCTGTCCCCAAAGTACTGGGATGAAAGGCACACACTACCACACCCATCATGTGATGAAGAAATGAGTTTCATTGAGATGTACAACTGAGGAACGCCATACACATATAGACACACAGACACACACAGACACACACACAGACACACAGACACACAGACACAGACAGACAGACAGACAGACAGACACACACACACACACACACACAAAGAGAAGAGAAGAAAAAAAGAAAAGAAACTAGATTTTTGTTTTTATGTTTTAGTCAGGATCTCACTGTATAGCTCTGGCTTTCCTGGAACCATGTAAATCAGGCTAGTGTTGAACTCACAGAGATCCACTTCCCTCTGTTTCCCCAATGCTAAGATTAAAGGTGTATGTTACTATGCCCAGCTGGCATTTATATTCCTAATCTTACATGATTTATTTTAGATAATTTTTTTACTAATATATTTTGTTTGTTTCCGTTTGAGAGAGTGTCTCCTATATCTTATGTGTCTCATGAGTATCAGACTGGCCTTGACCTTACTATGTAGCCGAGGATGACCTAGGACTCCTGATTCTCCAGCCTTTATCTCAAGAAAGAATGAGTTTGAGTTTATTGTGAAATATATATTGAGAGCCTGTGTCAACAAAAACAAATTTTTAAAAAGCCTGACTCCAAGGACAACCAGGTAGACTCAAAGATTGGGGCTCCTATTAAAAAGTAATTTTCGGAACTAGTTGATCCAGAGAGACGACAAAAGTATGCTGGACTCGTGGGCATGTGCCACCATGGGATCAGGAGTACGCGCCACCATGCTTGACTCCGAACACACCTCCTGAAGGAAATACTTCCTTTTAAAAAATACAGTAGTGAATTGACAGAAACTGTTAGCTCAGATGCACTGTGGTCTCATACAAGTCATCTATTTGATGACTGGCCTATAAACATTTCAATAGCTGTTTAAGAAAGGCAGATCTTATCAGTACAAGTCTGTACTTTCTGAGTTTCATATCTTTTCTTTATTATTCATGACTAATAGTATTCTGCAGACCTATCCTTGGACACAGAATTTAAAAGAAGTAAATTATTTAAACCAAAAGTTTGAGTCATCATCTGGTCTGTTCATTTTACAAAGGGTAATGCATTTTATTTTGTATATTTTTTTATTTAATGAATTTCCACTTATGCATTGGTGGTGAGTTTCAAATTTTCATCTCTTTTTCACCCTGAATGTATCTCTATACAACTGTCTCAGAATTTTAAAGACAAAGTCATATCCTTTTCTCTCCTTCAGCCTCTCTGTTCTTTCTTAATAATCTTTCCTTGCCCCTTTTCCTATTACTAAAGTGCAGCTTGAAACCGTAAATTTGGGGCGTATTGTTACAGAGTGTATGTGACACTGTATGTTGACACACATGTACTTCTAACTCTACACCAGAATCTGCTACCTTCTCACTCTCTTTATTAGCTTGCTGTGTTCACAGAGTGAGTCAATATGGCAAATCAGTTCTTCCTGTAACTCCTGCACACTGCTCCAGAATCTGTTCCTGTCAGCATCATGCAGCCAATACTGTCTTCTAAGTTCTGTGCCCCAGCCCTTCTTGTTATCATTCAGAAGCAGCATGGTGACAATAAAGACACATCAGCTCTGTCCTACTATCATCTGCTTCCGGTTTGGACTTCTTTTTCATAGCTTATGCCACAAATTCACTACAGACCATGCTTTCCTGTGCTAAAAGCATAAGGAGAAGAGCAGGCAGCACTGGCTTTATTTCTTAATCACCCATACATTTCTAAGCAAGGACAATGATAGCAAATGACAGTTCATAAAGCCAACTGACTTACACTGATTTCCAGCTCCATTTGAAACAAACCTGAATGGAAATGGAGTCTTACTAAAAAGAATTGTAAAATTCAAATCTCACATAGAGCTCTAAGAGTTGCACCTACAATTATTGTAAACATCGTATTCTCACATGGGAATATGGACTTTTTTAGGAGGATGAATGGTGGGTCCTGAAACATCATATTGTATAAACATTAAAAAGATACAAGTATTAGTTTTAGTAGGAGAAAAAAACATTCTTACTATATAGGAAGGTACCCAAGTTGTGTAATTGCTTTAGACTGTGAACTCCCTGGGATAACCTGGTGAGGCTCTGGCAAGACCCTTTCCCTGGACCCTGTGTTCATGAATTGAACAGGCTATGACTACCCTATGCCCCCTGACTGTTAGTTGAGACCACATTTCTTTTCACCATTGTCTAGAAGTGTGAAGTGTTCACATTACTGATTTCTTACTTTTCTATTCAGTACTTTCAACTGGACTGTCCCGTTCTTAAGCTGGCTGGCCATTGTAGCCCTCTGTGTGTTCACGGCCATTCTGTACTTCATTCCACTGAGATACATTGTTCTTGTCTGGGGTAAGTAAGCTTTTTAAACAACAACCACAAACATCTGTTTAGCACCTAAGAACAAACGGTTTTTAAGAGGTGAGTTATATTGTCAGTAGTTCTCTGTATTTATGGTCATGTAGGTACTCTATGATGAAAAGAGACAGTCAGTTAAAAATTGCAGCAGCATAAAGATTTAGGTCCACCTGGAAAATGCATTTTTCTTATCTGTCACCACAGCTGCCACCATACCATAAACATGTACTGGTAAAGACTCTTCATATATCAAAGTGTAACTTTGTCTAGATATCTAGATTTGTCTGATTTATTTTCACCACTTAAATGCCAACAGAAGCACTTTAAACCATGTGGTACATTTAGGACAATATACTTTTTTGCTGTGGTATTTATCTTGTGGAAGTATCTGTAAACAAGTTAGTAGCTGCCTGTTTAAAATGTCACTTTTAGAACTCAGGAAAAGACTTACTTGCATTTACAGGCTCCTTAGGAACAACAACAAAAGCCTGCTGAGTAAGAAAGCTTTTAGAAAAGTTCACTTTAAAGGGATTTCTTCTTAATATTTATGTAACTTTGCCACATGCTTCCAACAGTCCCTTTGACCCTAGCTCTCACTCGGGAGGTGCTTGGTGTCAGCATCCACTCAGGAATGTTCAATGTGTCACCATTCTGTAGAACTGAAACAGAATTTTCCTTTTCAGTTTTCTTTTTTCTTTCTTGGAGAAATTTTTGGTTTAGAAAATTCACTCTTCAGTCCTTAAGAGTCACTACCATATAGGAATATTTTCTATTTGCCCCTCACCAATGAACACATGAATCAAAGATTGCTAAACTTAAAAAAAATTACAAAGACTAAACATGGGCCTTAATGTTAAAAAATGCTTACTTATACTGTAAATAATAGGACAATGTGAAGACTTATTTTTTCTTCTTTTTTTTGGCCTCAGAATTGTTTAAAGAGATATACTAGAAGAAAAGTGAATTGAGACCAATAGTCTCCATCTAGTTTTAAGATTCCTGTTTGGGAGCTGCCAGCTCCCCTGCCTCCCCCTACAGTCGACCCCTAGACTTCCACGCCTTCCAGAAGGGTTCCTGGTATGCCTGGCTTTGCCCTCATTTCTCTCGCTAGAGAGCTTGGCCTCTTGATCACCACAACAAAAATTGGCTTTTTCCTAAACCAAGGCCGCCCTTGATATGGCCACTAACATTGGGGAGCCTTCCTTTATGACAATATTACACCCCAAACTGACAAATGGTTGGTAACTTGAACATTTACAAGAGACTAGGATGGCTGTGAGTTAGCCCAATGACAGGATTATTGTAGGTCCACTTCCCAGGGGCCCACCCAATGCAGCTGAAAAGGAGTGAGTGGTGCTGGGAGTGGGTGCAGCCTAAATGGCCTAAGACAGGGCTCTCACCCTCCTTTCACCCACATCGGAGTCCCTTGACGTTGCCCATCGTCGACAGCCTAAAGCCTTCGACCATCGATGTGACTCGTCTCACATCAGTGTTTTGGGGTTGTGAACTTGTCTAAGACCCCCCATAATTAGACATCCAAATTCAAAATTCACATAGTTGGGATTGATCATAAGACACCTTCTCTAACTAAACAGAGAAGGGGGAGATGCTAGAAGCCAGGACCCTCGCCCTTACCCTCACCCCCTACCTTTCCCCACCCGCACAAGGTCCTCTGAAGCTTGGCAACTGCAAGATCCTGCTTAGCAACTGCAGATAGACTCAAAGCAGAGTACCATGTCTTCTTAAGAATAGCAGGGAGACCATAACTCAAGCAGTGTACCATATCTTCTGAAGAACTGCAGGTAGATCATAATTCAAGGCAGTGTACCATATAGACCATGACATGTTTCAAGGCACAGGCCAAGAAGATTTTATACTTTTCCACCACCTGGCCCCTCTTACCCCCTCCCCTTGTAAAAATGCTATAAAAAAGCATTTCATGTTCAAAAAAAAAAGAGAAATTAAAAAAAATAAATTAAAAAAAAAAGAAATAAATCCAGTTTTGCATTACCTTCACCAAAAAAAAAAAATAAAGAAAAAAAGGATTCCTGTTTGGGGACTAGAGAGATGGCTTGACAGTTAAGAGCACTTACTGATTTTGCAGAAGACACAGTTTTGGTTCCCAGCACCCACATGGTTCACAATTGCCTACAACTCCAGTCCCAAGGGACACAAGGCTCTATTCTAACCCCTAGAGGCCCATGTTGCACAAACATACACTCTTATACACACATTCTTAAGTATAAAATAACAAAATAAAATAATAATAATAATGGATTCCTGTTACCTTTTTCATTTTCTCCTCTTGGGTAGACCCTGTTAGCCTTTATAATCACTAGTATTACCTCCAAGCCCATGACAGAGAAAGTAGTGATTATATTTTTCTTTCCAAATTTCACCATTTACAGAAATTCAATGATCACCTTTCCTACTCAAAGGATTTATTAAAAAGCATATTCTTGTTTTCTTGTCTATTAAACCCTAATATTTCATTCATTTCTCTGACCTTGAAGGTAGATCCGTTTAATTGGTGACTTTCAGGCAGAGAATAACCATAGGTATCTAAGGTCAGGCTTGCAGAACTCTCTCTATTGCCATGTGGTGAAGAACCCCTCCCCCAACTGACCTCACCCAGCTTCTCTGAAACTGAAGGTAGACGTCTGGCTATGTAACTTGTATAGCCTCAATGGCTAGCTGTCTTAAAAATAATTTGAAAGAATATGCTTTAGCCTTGTTTCATCAAATGAAAAAATACAGAAACTATTTCTTTAGTGTTAGGTAATTGCTGAAGTGTTAACAAGAAACCTAGGCCACAAGTCTCACACGGCTGGAAAGAGACTAAGGCCATGATGACAGAAGTTCATTCTGTAGAAACGCATCGAGAGCTAAGATGTCCCACTTCATTCCTATTTCCACAGTGTGTTTTCATGCATACCTGAAAACTTTTTTTTCCAAAATTTATGGCAATATTTTTCATTTCAACTTAAACAAACAATAACCAAGCATCATCATACTTGTGTGACTTGTAAACATTTAGTTTGCTTTCTAAAAGCAGCAACTTCTCCCCTAAAATACATACCTTTGGAACGGAGGAAATCAAGAAATGACCAACAATCTCAATCCAGACATGTAAGCACATAAATGTCATTCTGGCTAAAGCATGACAGCAAATCTGGGGACTTTGACATTGAGAATCTGATAATGGAAAGACTCTTAATTCCATCTAGATAGCCCTATTTGTTTTCCCCAAATTTCACCTACTGGTAAGAAGCCAATATAGTATAAAGACAAAAAGCAAGCAGCAATTCAGTTGGGAAAGTTGAAGGGAGGTGGTGTACTAGGCTATCCTGTCAAGGGTATGGGTTAGCATGTGGTTAATGCTCAAATCACTGTAATACTTTCTCCAGAAATGTGCTATGCCTAATTCCACACTCAACAATGAACTCAATAATGTTTGAAATGTCACTTTTTTAGGAATTAATAAATTTACAAAAAAGCTTCGGAGTCCATATGCAATTGATAACAATGAACTACTTGACTTCCTTTCCAGAGTTCCTTCAGATGTCCAAGTGGTATGTATGCTTCACTTTCACTGTTCTTTCTTGAGTGCAGTATGGCTCTGGGTGAATGTCAAAGGCTATACAAGAGTCAGGAAAGTTAATAAAGTCCATTACAGATTTTGGCAAGACTTTAACCAACTTGGCATTAGTCTAGAAAAACCTATAAAGGATCGAAAACAGGAGACTGAAAGTCATCGCATAAGGAACCCCTGTGGCTTTCAAAGAGAATCTCAACCCAAGCCCAGCTGAGTTAGTGAAGTGACATCATCAAGATGTAAGCAGAAAAAATAGGATTTTTAGATGTAGATGACAGAAGCAAAATGGGTGGTTAAATTATTTGTACATATTGCATGTATTCAATAAATTTTAAAGATGAATGTTAATGTATATTTTATATGAGGGGAAAATGTCTTCATTTGAAATATCAAAACATTATTTCACAAATTATTTGAAATACTTTGGAATTAATATGTACTAAATGAATTGTTTTAAAGTGAAATAAGAAAGATTTTAATCACAGTCTTGAGGACAGGTTTAGTGATAGCAATTTACATTAGTTTCAGTTGAGTTTTCATTTCATATATACAAAAATAGGTTAGGTCAGTAGTTCTCAACTGTCCTCACACTTTGACCTTTAATACAGTTCCTCATGTTGTGGTGACCCCCAACCATAAAAGTTATCTTGTTGTTACTTTCTAACTGTAATTTTACTACTATTATGAATTGTAAGATAAATGTTTGATATGCAGGGTATCTGATATGTGTGTGAAAGGGCTATTAGACCTTCCAAGGGGTCATGACCCACAGGTTGAGAATCTCTGGGCTAGATGAGAATTAAGACTTTAATATACAAACAAATAAACAACATCAACAACAACATCAAAACCCTGTGAAAACCCATTATTCAGCTCTCCAAAGATAGAGATAGATTTTCTTTCATTGTGTTGTGTTACAGTTATGGTTAGCAAAGTTTCCATAGGGCTGTAGGCAATTTCTGGCAGCAGCTCCCTTCTGACTTAGCTCTAGCCCCTGGTGAGCTGCGGTTGAACTGGGGTTGAGCTGGGGTTGAGCTGGGGTTGAGCTGGGGTTGAGCTGGGATTGAGCTGGGGCTCCCTCTTGGCTTCTAGAGCACTCCTCTCCATAATCCCGAAGCAGTCTCTCAATCCTTAGCTTTTCCTTCTTTTGCCAGGAAGTGGCCACCTGACTGGTCTTTTTCTGAACTGTTTAAACAGGTGCAGTACCAAGAACTGAAACCAGATCATTCTCATAGCCCATATAAAAGGAAGAAAAACAACCTTGGCTAGCCAGCTCCCAACCCCGAGGAGACCAGCACTTCTGGGAAGATAAAAGAAAAACTCAGCTCCGTAGCACTTCCTCTCTGCTTTTTATTTATTTCCCCTTTTTATCATGGTCGAGAACATTTGTAAATAGTGTACAAAAGACATATGTCTTTGAAAACATACTTCTACTGTACAGACTCAACTTGATAAGGGATTTTAGTTAGTGGATTGTGGAAGCCTTATAATAATAATATAACAAAGTGAAAGAAAAAAATGGTTATAAAACTGGAAGATATACATTTCTCCAGTCACCAGAGAAAGAACCAGAATATCAGATGGAATGCTCAATTGTGCGCCGGTTAACCCTCCATAAAATGTAAATGCCGATTTGATCTTTAGGTTTTTTGTAATGTAATGACTTCTTATCTGAAAAGTAATTCATTAGTGTTTTTTCTTTTTATGTTTATACATTTCAAGTGTGTGTGTGGGGGAACTCAAAGCTTGAATAATGGAAATGTTGCACTTCAACTTAACATACACCCTGACTTCCACTCCTGTGTAAATAAATTATGTATGGCTAAGGCTAATTTAAGCTACAGGTACATTCATATCTTTTTCTGTCTGCATACACACACAATCCCTTAAGAGAACCTGAGAATCTAGGAATAAGACTTTTAAGCCTTCTATCATTCCACTTAAAACCTTAAAATCTCTCCAGAACTATATTAAATAAATACTGCCAGGTTTATAAATGAATGAATAGTGGGATTTTTATATATACCTCTGTGTTTAGCAAATTATCAAGCCAATTGTTAAAAAAATATTAGCAAACTAAATTCCTACTGCATTTGGTGTCAAATTATGCCCTGTGTATTAAAAAATGTAATCTTTAAGTGTCTTCTACTGATATACATCAATGCATAATGAGTTTTGTCATTAGTGAGTTTTAATGGAGAGGAGAATGCAGTTGGCTAAGTGAAAAGGACAGTGTTTTCATTACACCATTTATGAAGGAAGATCATTGATAATGCATGAAAACCTGTTTTGTAAAATAAACTGCTTATAAGGCAGTTTCCATTAAAAATGTTTCACTAACCATACTCTATACTTCAAATTGCATTCCTAAAACTAATTCCAGGGTCTATCAAGGGAACATACCTCTGCAGAGATCATTTGGTTGGTGAAAATGTCTTCACTGACTTGTTAGAGGAATCAGACTCAATGGAAATTGCTGCAGACAATGTTTTGCACTATTTTATTAATTGCTATTAATAAACAACCAGGGTGAGGTGAAGGTGGGGGTTGTGCTGGAAAATGTAGAAAAGCAGAAATATATATTTCACTTTAAAGAAAAATTCTTTAAATCTCATCATAGCTGATTTTTAAAGTATTTTTATTTTAGAAATATGTTGTTGAATACTATTTCTTACAATAGAACTATTTTGATGTTTATATACTTTGCTTGGAAGAATGTCAACTAAATTCCCTTTCTACAGAAAGACTTTGACCTCAATATGCTCTATTTAGTGTATCATGTTTAAAATGACATGTGTACATCTGCATTCCATCACTGTTTGTTGAAAAAAACATACATTATGAAACTGACCTACAACATAGTTTATTGATGAGATCATTAGTTTGGTATAAATTCTGATTATTCTTGTGAGATTTATGTTCTGTACTGACAATGTCTATTCAAATATCTATAAGCTTGGCATTCTATAACCACAGCTGTACCTAGTGAATGTAACCATTAACAGATGACTAACTTTGATTATTTCATTGTGTAAGATTTCAGATGTTTATTTCAATAGTAAGGTTGACTACATATTCACTGCATTAAATATGAAAGAAAATAATCTTTTTATGTATAATCTTTTGTTCTAAGAGAAACATGGTGGGGTCCTGGGTGCATATACTCATTAATGACACTTCACTTGGGGAATATGTGTGTGTGTATGAACAGGACTATTCATGAAACCCTAACTATGGCATAAACTTTTTTTTTTATGGTATAAACCTTTGGCATGGTGAGCATCCAATGAAGCAGGGAAAACTAGCTGGACTCATGAAAGTTACCTTAAGTCCTCATTGCTTATAGAAATTTATAGGTCCAAAGAGACAATGCCAAGTAGGATTTAAATTTTCTTATACAGAAACATTTTTGGTGTATGCCTTGGTTACATGAGATTTTTGAAGAAAATATTTCAAGTTACCTGAAAAGACAAAACCTTAGTTCATCAATCTATTTGCACAGCTAAATATAACAGATGTTATATTTATGAGTTATATTTATATTTACATTCTAAATTTCAGCCATCGTTGAATGCTATCCTCTGGGCAAAAGAACTATCATCTTCCTTAGGTCAGCTGCACTTGGTTATAAAAGACCATCGTTCATGCTTGCTGTTGACATGCCTTCATGAAAGAAATGGGTGTAGACGGACTCTGGGCCTGCCATTCCAGCAATCTGGATGCAATTCTGCCCTAAGTACATGTGGCCTTAAAGAAGTGCTAGAATATATAGGTGGGTACAGTTTACTTGAAAAGGATCTGTATGTATGCAGCAATGGGCCATCATTTATACTAGCAAAGCCTTCCCAGTGCAGTTGCTTTGGAGTCATCCATGCTCTGTAAGTAAGCCTAATAAACTTATTGGTTCCCCACGCTGAACTCTGGTAGGTATTTTAGCTTGTCATTGAGATTATATATGAGAGGGTAAGATCATATAATGAGGGGGTAGATGAGGTTTAATTTCCTCCTCAAGAACAATGAATCCTGCCACACCATTCACTGGGATAAATCAGACGTCTATTTTGTAATGAACACTGAACATGGTGTTAACTAATAGTTCATTTTGCTACTGTTTCAGCCTCAAACTGAGAGGTTCTTGAGAGGTGGGGTTAAGTGCTGAAATGAAGCAGTTAAACCTTTTTATCCAGGGACCACAGGAACTTTCACTTTTATTTCAAAATCCAAAGATCACCAATACCAAAACCAAAATATATTCAAAGGCTATCACTAAATTTATAAACTTAAGTAACCTTAAAAATGCTTACAATGCTTTTGCAATAGTGCTTTGGTACTCAGCTTTAAGAAAATGTGTAAGGCGACCGGTGGCTTTAAAATACAAGACAGCTAGTATGATACTTGTTACAAAAAGACTCAAGTATTATTAAATTAATGCATGTTCAAGTTTTGGGGTTTGGAATGTTTGTGTACAGACATGTGTCACTAGTCTAAAGTACCTAGAGTCAGCCTTTTAAAAAACTGTTCAGTTGAATTAAAAACACACAACTGTAGTCAAAAGTGTCTTTCATTTATAATTCTTTCAACTGATGATTGCTATAACTCACTGAAACAAACAACACAATACCCAGCAGAAATTTCTTTTGTTGTGAAAATACTTTTACAGCTCATTTTCCACATTCATCCAGTGGCAGCTTGTGTACTGGTAGTTGCATCAGAAGTTACTCCGGCTCAATCTGAGGATTCACACACCCCAAGAGAATCTCTTTGTTGGAACAGTATGCAAGTGCACAGTAATAATGCCCAAAAATGTTTATATAAAGTAAACAGGTTTGCTGGACTCCATTTGTGTTCTTTCAGGAGTTCTGGTTTAAAAGTAAAGGGGAAAACAAAAACAAAACTTCTACAAAACAACAACAAAAGGTGACAACCAAATATATAATTGGTCTCAAATGAATTTCAACTTGATCACTTTCACAGCCTAAGCTGAAAACAATTATTTAGAGGCAACAATCCAGTAAGGCTTGCTTGGCTCTCTTCAATGAACAGGATGACAATGAAGCAGAGGGCTTCAGGTGAATAGCTAGGCCAAAGTGTACTCAGTGCCGTCCTTGGTGTTATTTAAAGAAATCCTGAGCACTGGTGGAAGGGAGGTTGAGTCTATTGCTCCATAGTAGACTACCTGTCTCGTAGGGAAAATAAAACAGGTTCACTCTTATGGTTTAGGGCTAGCTTCAAACTGACTTCATTAATGTTAAAGGGTTTTAGTTTGTTTGGGTTCAAGTGCTGACAGATTTGGAAGAAATGATAAATTTGTACAGAAAAGACCATCCAGTATTTCAACAACTGTTAATTGTGTTAGTGTCCACAGAAAGGAGGGAGCCAAGGGGAAGGAAATGCTAATATTTTTCTCAAGTAGATCTTTTTACAGCTACTAGAGAAATAGAACCCATGTGACCAAATTTTTCCATATAACTAAATTCCACATGGCCTTACACAGTAGTGATTCCAACAATTATAAATCAAAAATACTTGTAGCCTGCTCTAGATAAAATGTGAGAACTACAACTTCCTATTTCCTGTAATGGAAGGGAATATGTTTGTGATTTCTGTCATTACTCTTGCTTAATAGAAGTAGCTAATCCCAATTTCTAATCAAATTTACAGAATGATCTGCTTTGCTTCTTACATTTGTAGAATTCTGAAGCACATACAACCTACTGGGAAGATCAAATGCCTTCACCCATTTAAAGAAGCACTTTCCCAAAGAACAGTTTACATGCCATTTGTTTGATGTTCTTTGACATTTATAATTTTCCTATTGGATGTGGAAAACAAAGGGAGGGGTTGCTGCTTAGAGGTTGAGACTGTTGTTCCATGGTAGAATACTTGTCTTGGAAGTGCCAGGTCCTAGGTTCAATCCTTGTACTGAGACAAAAAAAAAGACCTTCAAAATATTAGGAAACAAAAAAAAAACAAACAAAAAACCCCAAAACCAAAACAAACCATCATCTATTTTATTTTATTCTATATTTAGTTACGGGTAGGAATGAGGACAAACTATGACATACCCTAGAGCACACTGACAAGGTAACCCTAGAATCCTCAGCAGGACTGCTGGGTTTATCTGCCTTCCATTTGTAAATAAGTTACATGATTGCTTTTCCATTTTTCCAACCAATAATAAACAAATACCATTTAGTCTCAGAGCTTCCTCCTTTCCGTGTTAAATATGAAAAGACACTTCAGAAAGCCACGAAGGAGTAATGAGCAATCTTCAACTGAATGTTAGTGAGGATCTAGTCTAAGAAGCATTAAGACTGAGGGTGTCAATGAGCTGAGTTGTCAAATTCACTCTCTAAGAAATGCGCAGGGCAACTG